ATTAATTTGTTATAAAACGTATAATTTCATAGTAAAAACCTTATAATTTTCAATGTAATAAAAAAAATATTTTTTTTTATTATTTTTATATATTTTTAATTAACAATTCCTTATACATCATTTTTATAAAAAAATGCTAAAAAAAAATTCCTTATAAAATATAAGGAAATGTGATATGGAATTTTAAAAAACGTATACAAAACTTATTTATAATAATGAAAAAACGTGTGCAAATTTTTTATAGGGCAGTTGCAAGACATTCTTTATCTTATGAAATAAAAGAATAAAAGAGTGATAAGAGACGAAATGTGAATGAGAAAAGCATTAGTAATAGTTTAAAATATTATGTACAGATGAATTTTAAAAAAATACAATAATTGTTTGGTCAATTTTAATCGTCGTTATAAATGTGCATCCTGATTCGTATGATAGAATAATCTTTTCTATGCTTACTATACTCTCCTCCTAATGCATATTACAATAGTATTCAAAATATTCATCCTTACCACGTTGCTGCACCTATTTAACAGTATTAGAATAATTCGTTCTCCATTGCTTTTACTCTACTTAACCTAAATGCATCATATCTTGCTTATTTGCTTTTCAAACAAGTTTACATATAACTTAACCTTTGCTATGATTCTGCTCTATATCTCAAATCCAATGCATGTAGTAATGCTTTTTAACTATCTCTTCATATAACCTAGTTCTGCTATATTTTAGCTCTGTCCTAACTAATAACAATCCAACTGCCTCTCTTGCAAATAGCACAAACCTAGTAACGGTATTCAAACTCTTCTCCCCATTGCTCCTCTATTCTTTCAATAAACGTGTTGCTTACCTCGTTTACCAAGCATTTGAAGAAATTCTTTATAACAATCTGTGGCTGTTTCAGGATAGTTGTGATAGTATTTAGCGTAGAATTCTTTATATTCTTTGTATTTTACTCTTCCTTTCTTGCCTGTTACTTTTAGATAGTCTTCTTTGTATTTCATACCAAAATCTATTAGGTCTAGTGAGTAGTCCATGGTTAGATATTTTTCGTATGTTCAGTAAAAGATAGTGATAAAAGAAGCAGTATCACGATCTGCATCTGCACAACTCAGCTCTGTTTAAACATTTTACTTACACAAATATGTAATACTTCTTCATATTGAAATGCTGAATCAACTATAGTTATCAGGTTTAACACACTTAGCGAAATAGATCAGGAATCCTCCATGCTTTTGTCAGAAATAAAGAATAATGAAAACAAAAGGAAATCTTTTTTATATACTTCTTTGCATATCACGTTATAGAACAATTAACAAATGGTTTAATTATTGTATTGTATTTTGCTACTATGTGATACAATTCTGTTTTTAGAAGTGAAGCAATTGTTTTTTACGTGCATATTGTAATGAGTTATATAATATGGATAACTAAATTTGAATTGCAAAACTAGTTACAATAATTGATTCATCTTTATTACTTTCTTAAATAAAGTATGTATAGCACTTTTGCATATTCACCAAAGTGATTGCATAGGAGAAAATACTCAAATCTAAAGCTATTGATGAGTATTCCTATACTTTAGTCACGCTAATGAAGTTTATATTACATATCATCATTATTATTAACATCATCATTTTCCTTCTCCTTTTCTTTATCAATCCATTTCTATACTGTTTTGACAGTTATTTTCTGCAGATTAGTTTTTCATTGGTAAAAGTTATTCAGTGTAGAGTTGCTAATGCCTTTTCTCCTGCGTAACTTATGGATTTGAGTAGCCACTTTGGTAAATGAAAAGTTCAGTTTCAGCTCAGATTTCGTGTCAAAGAATTTTTTAAAATCTTTTCATAGATTTTTAATGTCTTCTGCATATATTCATTACTGGATAGCTTGCTGGATTTAGATTTGATTTCGTTTTTATTTAATTTGACTGCTTGAATTGCTATTCAAGCTTTTGATTTATATTGCAGAGTTGAATATATATTTTATAATAGAGCAAATGACCAACGACATTAATGGAAAAAAACATTTTTGATTACCAGTTATTTGCTTTTTTATAAAATGACTTGTTTCGGTATTGACGTTAGAAAGATTAGTGGTTTTTTTAAAGCAAAATTGAATCTATTTTTATAATAAATTCTCGATTTCATCAAAATTGTGAATTCATTATTATTATTTAACAAATATTTAATATTTTGCATCAATTTAATTTATCAAAATTGTGACATAATCAGCAAATTTGAAAGGTATCAGTATAATTTTGGTTAGTCTTCTGCTGCCAAAAATGGTCTATTCTTCCTATAACTTAAGTTATAATATTAAGTATAAGTCTAAGTATAAACATTAAATCATTATCCATACCAAATAATATGTATATTTAAAACACTAGATCATCATTAACAAACATTGTATATATATTAATTATTATATTGGTTATTTTCTGAATCATTGACGAATATATAAAACAATTTCATCTGATATTTATAGTGCTATTTTTCTTTATCTATATAATAATAAATAATTACAATAAATATTTGCTAAAATATTAATATTTATAATCAATAAATAAATAGATTTATTGAATACATGTAATTCTATAACATTTGCAACAAATAAAATTGTGAATTGCGAATAAAAAAAAATTAAAAAAATTGAATTGTTATAAAAAACAATATTTGTAGCCAATTATTCTACATAATATAAAGCTATTCGCCTCACTTCTAGTTAAACATAATTATGATTGCTTATTTTAATTTACTGATCAAATAAGTTATCATCTCCTAAAGTTTGGTACTGGCCGCCCTTCTAATAACTTATTTTTGTGATCCGCTTTTATTTCTAACACAATAAAAGGTTACTACTCATAAATTGTATCAGAGTTTAGTACTTAAAGCAAATTTATTATCATTTTTATCAAACAACCTATAAAAAATCATATAATTATAAAGAAACAGATATTTGTTTTATATTTCTAACTTTAGTTTCTTTCTTAGTTCATCATATGTTAGTGTCAATGTTCATTTATAGTTTATTATTTTTTGTTCTTCTTGGTAAATTTCATAAGTGATTTTTTCTTAATCTAGATATTCCTAAAAGGGTTGAGTATCATTGATTTTAAAAACATAAGAAGCAATCTTTTCTCCTTGAGCTTTTTTTAGAATGCTTTTAATGGTGCTGTAATTCTTTGATTCTATGGTAGATTTAATGTAAATTAGTTTCATATTAATATTTTTATATAGGAATAGTCCTATATTCATCACATTATGATTTATATTTATCACATTCTAGTATGATAAAGTGAGCATTAAAATTAACAAGCTTATAAGTTATGAATAAGCACATTATTACTTTTCAAAATATCATCAGTCACACTGGTCAATTTTATAACCACATTATAATCAGTCTCTTATTTCAAAATGTTCACTTTGTTTGATTTTGTTACAGTCTGCTTCATATAAGATCAACCAAACTTTGCTATGACTAAATTATGAAATTGTAACATGATATAAAAAATCATTATTATTCTATAAAAAATAAGATCTACCTCTAATAGAGGTTAATAAAACACCAGACATAAGAAAAAAAAAATAATTTTTTTTTTAATATAACTCTATTTGTTTTTTTTCAATATTTAGCAGCAAACCCTTACAATTTATTATATGCTTAATATTCTTTTATTTAAATGTAAAAATGAATACAAAGCATTAATACATTTTAAAAAGTTTATAAAATTTGAGCATTAGTCACAAACATTAGTTTTATTGATGTAGTAAGAATTAGACATAATTGTTCTAATATATATTAATTGATTATATTATGATCTTAATAAATTAAATTTAATTAGTTAATATTTTTATAAAACATAATAAAAAGACTGATAAGAATGTAACGAGACAATTTATAATTCTATTTTTTTTTAATTATATCTTTAATAAAATAATAAATAAAAAATAAAAAATAAAATAAAAAATTGCCTATATGTTATTATATTATATCTATATCATTGTAATTATTGTAGGAATATACTTTTTGATCCTCTTCAATATCAGAACTATTATTAGAGCTATTAACATTATCATCAAAACTGTTATTACTATTAACATGTTTATAATTTTCATTATCACCAAACTGAAAGGTTTTGACCAGATTTCCTTTCGACTGAATTATTTCTTAATCCAGAATTTAAACGTCAAACATAAGGTGTGATATTAATTAATTTGTTTTCTAAACTCAGTCATTTACGAACCTGACTAGGTTGAATGTCAAACTTTGCAGCTGTTGCTCTCTTACTATGTCCTTGTTTGTAATAGTTTAGCACCTCTAATTTTTCTTTTGTATACCATTATCATCTTGATCTTTTTATTACGTTTTTCTGCTTAATTATTCAAGTTCGCATTATGTCTTTTAAATAAAAATAACAAATTAACATTGTTTTTTTATATATAAAAGAAAAGAAGAGAAGAGAAGAGAAAGAAAGAAAAAAAGAGAAAGGGAGAAAATTTACCAAATATTGTAAAAGTTTTATTAATATACAGTCAAAAGCTGAATTAACCTTATATATTCACAATAACAAGGCTTATTAATGATCTTAGTGAATATTATAATGATATATAGAAATAGAAAAAAAAGTTTTTGAATCCAGGATATTTATATAATTTCCATTAGCATAAAAAATATTGTAGTACACAAATGTCAATAAAACTCTTAAAATAGCAAGTATTCCATAAAATTCAGGGGTTCTTTACAAAATCAGAATTTTCTTCATATCGTAACTCTGGCTAAATATTTCATTTTTTTAAATTAAATTAAAAAATCTTAGAATATCTTTTGATCTTTTGACTTTCCTTTTCAGTTGTATTCAGTAAATTCGCAGGGTTTTCTCCAAAATGGTAAACCTGATAGCAAAGCTAGAAATTAAAGAATCTGAAATTGATATATAATAGAAAGATTCTATATATAATTCGTCTTCTGATATTGGGTAATAAATTAAAGAACTTTTTCAGGTTTAAATAATAATAATAATAATTATATACATGATAACTTTTTTTTAATATTTATATGAAATAAGGCTATTATTTTTATCCCTTTTGTTTATTTTATATATTACAAATCAAAATCTTTTTCGATTTATTAAATCATATGAGACTCAAATAATTCTTTTTGTGCTAATGGATCTTATGAATTATTGGTCTTTCTAGATTAATACAATATAACCAGCCTTAATATTTAGCCAAATTTGCAACACAGTATTATATTACTTATAACTTGTGTACCTCTTATCGGTTATTTCAGTTAATTATCTTACCTTCTAAAAAAATTTTATTTTTTTGGTTGTTTGCATTAATTCAGTCTAAGCAAGAAAGCAAAAGATTTTCATTATCATTACTTTACTTTGTAGTTGGATCTAGTCTTACTTTGCAATTCACATAAATAGATCGAGATAGCATAAATTAGATAATAATTTGATGCATAAATTTATTATAGTAATAAAGCATTCTTAAAATTGTTGTTTTAAAGTTTATGGATTAGCAATTACAAAAGATTTCGAAAGAAAAGTTTTTTATAGTAATTAATAAAAAAGGATTTCTCCCCTTTTTTTTGCAAGTAAATTTCAGGTTTATCAAGCAAAATTTTATATAAATTAGTTCAAAAAAATTATTTTATTGGGTTAAAAAAAAATTAATTATCAAAGAAATTAAAAAATAATATAAAATTTTTAAGAAATATTGAAAATAAAATAAGCTTAAAGAAAACTTAAAAAAAAAGGAGAAACAAATATTACAATTATAAAAATTTTTTCATTAATATAATAATATAATTATTAGCTTTAGCAGATACTTTAATAGATATAAAATTTAAAGATTATAAATATACTGTATTTAATATATAAAA